CCTCGCATCCCTACAAAGCCGGGACGGAGCACGCCGGGTTCTCACCGGACCAGGCTCTCACGTCACCAAGCGCGAAGCGCCGTGAGGTATTCGGCGAGTCGCATGGAGGGCGCGCTGCACCCTGCTAAGGGTTGTCGGCATCTTGTGCTTGCTTCCTTGCATACGTACGACAGCTGCGTATGACTTGATATATTTTCTGGTGCTTTCACTTCCTGAGACAGTTGTAAGATCTGTGTAACTGCTTCGAGGGTGCTTGACCATTGTAACACAACGTGGTGCGATCATTCCCCTTGCGCGGAGTGAGGGATCTCGACCCCCGCGCAACATTATCTACTCGACGGCCACTATGGTTACCGCAAAAACAAATCAAAGGCACAAGGAAAAAAAGCGGTACCCTGGTTGCCGAGTTCACGAAGTGAATTGGCTTGTTATACAACGTCACTGCCAAGGGACGAAAACCCAATCCCGATGGCAAACGCCGAGGGGGGGGCTTGTTTTACAACGTCCTTGCCAAGCGACGAAAACCCAACCCCGATGGCAAACACCGGGGGAGGGGGGGAGTTGTAAAATTTCGTGACAGAAGGAACAAGCTGCCGGCTCAACTGCGCGCCAGCGAGATAATCGAATTCCACGCTAGCAAGGCCGCCGCCTGTTGGTTTGAAGGGAATATTCCCGAAACCGTCAGCACCAACTTGTCGGGGTGGTCGGGTCTCCTACACTTTTCACAGCTTCGCAAAACCACCCATGGACACCACGTGATGCCCATGGACAGCCCATGGACCGTCCATGAGTGCCCTTCAACCGGAGTCAGTGTACTCAACAATAGATTGTCTCTTTGGAAGGGTCATCAACACGGCTATTCAACCTAACGCTAACGCTAACGCTAACGCTAACGCTAACGCTAACGCTAACCCTAAGCCTAAGCCTAAGCCCACACGATCCGTACTAGGTTGGCGCTGGGTGGCAAAGTTCTAGGTTGATGTGCAGGTGATTATGTTCAAGGTTGATATGCCGGTGGCGAAGTTCTATATATAGAGGTTGAAGTACCCACGGTGGGCACTTCGTGAGCACTTCATGGGCTGCCCATGGGGCCACCCATGCGCAGCTCGTGGGCAGCCCATGAAGTGCCATGGGCGGTTCAGCGAAACTGTCAGTGGTGTGGGAGAAAGAGATGCAGTGCCGGCCCGCTCATGAGGAACACCTATTTTGAGCGCGGCTCAATCCTTATTTCGTCCCCACCAGTGAGCACAGGCTTCTACGTATGAAATAATGTAGCGTCTGCCACTATGCTCAATTCCTTGGAGCAATTTTCTACAGTTTGTAAAAAATCTGAGCCTCGGTGTCTTGCGAACACACTTCTTGCGAGCGGGCCGGCACTGCAGCCCCCTCTGACCAGACATCGCGAGCTCACCTCCGTACACGTCCGCAGAGTTGCCGGTGAAGTTAACCCAGCCGGCAGTGAAGCTGGACGCCCCGCCCAAAAAAACGGCGCCTATTGGTGCGGGTTTTTGTTCCGGCAACACAGGCAGAGGCAGCAGCGGCAGGTCATACGAGCGGGAGATCGGCGTCAGGAGCGGTGGGGGTAGAAGAGGCAGAAGTGGACCCCACTTATTTCTTGACTGCGTGGGTGGGATATTTTTGGGAGCCAACGGCGGCAGCACACCAGCCAAAAGTTCGCCCGCGATTGAGAAGCAATTGCAGCACCAACCGCGGTTTCACTATTTTTGTCGTTTTCCAAAGCGAAACGAACGGGATGGCACGTACAAAGCGCAACGATCCGTGTAGACGAAACGCACACAGACTTCACGCGGGGAGAGTAGTCCGCAACCGTGACCACTCCCAAGAAATTCGATGAGACTTTTTTTTGCCCCGAAAAATCTACCGATGGAGTGAGAATCAGACAGCCGGACAAAAAGTTCGGGTCGGCTTTGTTTCGCTTTTTCGGATTCATCGAAAACACCGGGTGCACCGCAAAAAGCAACAAGAAATGACAACAACGGACTTCATAACCATGGCGTGGCCAATCTCCCACACTACTGGCAGTTTGCTAAACAGCCCATGGGATACTCATGCGGTACCCATGGGCCGCCCATGGGCACTTCATGGGCTGCCAATTGGCTGCCCATGGGTGGGCCCATGGGCGGCCCATGACGTGCCCACCGTGGGCACTGCAACCTAGATCTACTCCACCGGCATTTCAACCTACTTTTTACTTAACTTGGCCACAGCACATCAACCTCGAACCTAGCCAACCAGCGCCAACCATCACCTATCATGTGGGCTTGGGGTTAGGGTCACGGATAGCGTTAGGGTTAATAGCCGCTACAAAGCAGATAAAATAATCGATCGTTTAGGACCACGCTGTTTCCGGTCGAAGGGCACTCATTGGCCGCCCATGGGCTACCCATGCGCTTGCCCGTGGGCATTCCCCATGGGCACCAAAGCGCCCATGGGCAGCCCATGGGTATCCCATGGGCAGCCCATGGGTATCCCATGGGTTTCCCACGGGTGTCCCATGGGCGGCTTATTGGAGCAAAATTGTAAAATGTGTGGAAGACCCGGCATGGCTATAAAGTATTTGATTATTTGTTGAGAATGATGTCTGCAACACGGGACCATCAGCGATTATCGTGGTATCACATCCAGCGTGATAGCACCGACAATCTTACTTTACCATCGCGTCGGGAGGTTGCGTAATAGCCATCAGTCGCTCCGGGCTACAACGAACGCTGTGTCAAGCTGTGTTATGGGCGGGGTATTTTGATGTTGGGAATGCGTGCTTACTTCGCGGTGCAACCTCCCCCCCCCCAGGTTGAATCGGGGCCCAACCTACCCACAACCCGAACTCTGGCCACAAGTGCTCCGGTAATCGGGAGAGTTGTTAACACCCAACCAAGCACATCCCCATCTGACACGGCAGCACGTCCGTCGATTGTTCGCGCTGCACGCACGCCCCCGGCGGAAAGGGCGGAAATTGTTGTTTATTTCACCGAACGAAGCCAACAAGACAAATACACCGAAGATTGTTTCGCAAAACTAATGTTTCACTCCAGCGAGAGAATCGAACTCCGAGAAGCTGCACATAGTAGGTTCACGAGCTGAATCTATCAACCTGGACGATATGGTGATCGGTTCACTACAAGTAAACACACGTGGACGAGTGCGTCGTTGAAGTCTTTTTGAATTGATTGAATTAGTGTTGGGGCAGCCTGTACCGGGTACTGGGTCACGCGTGATTCACAGCAAACACGCTCCCCAATGGCACACACATGCATTGCATATTGAACCTGAGCATAGAATGATCGGACTCTTCTTTCCGCGGATTCTCCGGGCTGAGCTGATACTGTACCTTACAGTCTACTGTACCAAGGGCACACACACATACTCACAAGCGAGGAGGTGGCATGTACACCAACACTTCCTTGTTAGAGGTATGCATACGGCGACTTACACATCGTTGTTAGTAAACCATAATCGACTTCGGAAGTCGCGAGGAAAGGGATTGATGTACCCTTCTCGCGATAAAATACCTCAGGCAGGAACAGCAGGAGGGGGTCCAGCCCCCCCCTCCTATGTGACCCCGGTTGAGTCGTCTAGCTAGTAGAAGTGGAGGATAGGGGCCAGAGGGGCAGACGACAGAATCCGATGATGGGAGAAGCAAAAAAAAAAATCGATACAACACCTGATACCGCGGAAGGGGCTCTGAAGGACTAGGTCTATCTTTTGCAAAAAACTTACAGACGGGTAAAACAAGGCAGCGCGTAATCTTTGTGCGTACCCACATGTGCAGTGATGCCCCACCCAACCGACAGCAACCGAGGCACATTTTATATGTTGTGAGAACAGAGCAAGAACAGAGCAAAAGTTTGTTCCGGTTTGCGTACCGCTATGACCGCCATTGTTGTGCTCTCGACAAATCACGAAGGGCCTGCCGGTATTTACCCGTTGTGTTGGTTTCATCGACCATTCTCATGGCCTGGCCTCAGTATTACCAGGGCAATAGCTGGTGCGATGTGAGGCACGGAGCTCAACGTGTGTCATGTGCAAGCGTACAACCTCGAGTTTGTTCTCGATAAAAACGGCGTAACAAAAAACACACCCGGCACTTTGCAGCCGTAAGCTCGGGTACGGCAGAAGATACAGCAGTAGCGCTATCCACGTGTATTTGGGCACCAGGTGTCTAGCCGGTAATCAATCTCGTGTACTACATTTTGTAGCTGCTAACGGCAAAATATCTTTGAGGGAGAGCGAGCGAGACTTGATTGAGCAGATATACTTCGGGCGTATTGGACGCACGCACGCTGCCGCGTTGTGCGAACATGCAAGACACGGGCTATCAGGCGTGAGATCGGGATAATGCCTACCATATGGCTATCGGGACGTCACACCCCACATTCACCAAAAAACGGCAGAACTTCTGCTGTACTGCAGCAGACTGTACTGCTGTGCAGCAATACATCAGCTAAGCTCACATCAGAACGCATGCACGCAAACGTTCCAGGAGCCGAAAGGGGCATGTATGTGTGGTGCAGCAGGATCGACCGTGCCTACCTCCGTTCGAGGTCACCCTGTTGCCGTAGACGTCGCAGTCCACAAGCGTCACGGACGACGCCCCCACGGCCGCCACCGCTCCTCCGTCGACTCCATATCCTCCCGTCAGCGCCATGCCCTGGAGGTACAGCACAGACAGCTCGGACGCAACCAAGAGCGTGATGTCCCCGTCCCCACTCACAACGGACTGCTCCTTGCTTTCCCCCGTGATCTGCAGGGTCGTCGAGTTCGCCACCTGCAGGGGCTCGCTAAGGCTGACGGTTCCCTGCCAAGCCACGATGAATTCGAGCCCCTGGCAACGGGCAAGGTCCGCTCCAAGAGCGGAAGCTTCAGCGGTCGTCGAGACGGCACGAGATTCCGACAACCCGTCGCAATAGCCATCATCATCGCCTTGCGACCGAGCTCCGGCTGCAAGCAAAAAGCACAGCAGCACAACAAGGCGAGCGGCCGCTGGGCCCATCCCGCTCGGGTGCCTCCCGGTGCTCGCTGGGCAGAGAGAGAGGGAGAGAGATGGGATGTAAGCGCTGGTAGGTGTGTTCCAGTTGGGGAGATGAGCAGGTACACCTTCCTCGCACAATGGCGGGGTTTCTTGAAAGAATCGAAGTCATGATATGAATTAATCATCTTGAAAGAGTCAAATATGCTTGGAAGTTCGTTTCTTAGCTTACGTCTTGATTGAGATTTACTAGAAGTAGACTAGGATAACTCCATGTGCTGTCTGGATGCCACATTGAAGGAGTACGCACAAGCGATCTGTCCCTTGGTTTATTGGAATATCTGAAATGCTTTGTACTATAGATATCTCTTCCGTCTGCCTTGTAGGAACATAGGACCTCGTGGACAAGTATTTTCCTTCGGTGTCGATCCCCGATTCTGTCTTGAATAATCGTCAGAAAATGTCCAACCCCCCTCGTGAGTGAGTGAGTGAGCAGAACGATGCTGCAGTGTAGCGGAATCTGTGCCGAACTGAGTAGTCTAGTATAATGGGAGGCGTTAGGATACGTCTCCCTTCTCGTTGTCTAGTTTGTATTATTGCCTCGTTGCCCCAGAAATATTGTGACGATGGAGTTACAAATATCCAATGCTCACTTCGTTCTCGTTTGTTACTTGGGTGTGTTTGGGCTTTGTTCGGTGGAGTTGGGTGGAGTGATCTTCGACTTATCACGCCGCCAGTAAATTTCTGGTCCTGTTTTGGGTGTTTGTTTGTTTGTTTGTTTGTTTCTCTCCCATCATTGGACTCTGCCGTCTGCCCCTCTGGCCCCTATCCTCCACTTCTACTGGCTAGACGACCCAACCGGGGTCACATAGGAGGGGGGGTTGGACCCCCCTCCTGCGGTTCATGCCTGAGGTATTTTTATCGCGAGAAGGGTACAGCAATCCCTTCCCTCGCGACTTACGAAGTCGATTATGGTTTACTAACAAACGAGCTTTGCAGCGCGTCGCTTTCATCCTAGACCAGGATTTATTTAGTGAGAAAAAAACTCTCCCTGCCGGGACTCGAACCCATGACCTGGCCCTTAGCAGGCTGCGAGGCTACCCACTAGACCACCGGGGCGACCGGGGTATACGTTTTTGGTGCACACGCGTAATGGCTTTTTGTTTTGTCTGATCACGTCAAATCGGCGCTCAAACCATTTATTTGTGCCGCTCACTCCGACCAACCCGTGGTCACACAGAAGGGTTCCTCTCCTCCCGGGGGCCCTCCTGCGGTGCTTTGCCTTCAATTTATACTGCAAGAAGAGTGTTCACTCTCTTCCCGCTATGTGCACTCCCCCCCCCCGGTGTTTGCCATCGGGGTTGGGTTTTCGTCGCTTGGCAACGACGTTGTAAAACAAGCCCCCTCGCTCGGTGTTCGCCATCGGCATTGGGTGTTCGTCGCCTGACAATGACGTTGTAAAACAAGCCAATTCACTTCGTAAACTCGGCAACCAGGTTACCGTTTATTTTTTTTACCTCGGTTTATTTTGGCGGTAACCATAATGGTGGTCGAGTAGATCATGTTGTGCGGGGTGGAGAACCCTCGCTCCGCGCAAGGGGGATGATCGCACCACGTNGCATTGGGTGTTCGTCGCCTGACAATGACGTTGTAAAACAAGCCAATTCACTTCGTAAACTCGGCAACCAGGTTACCGTTTATTTTTTTTACCTCGGTTTATTTTGGCGGTAACCATAATGGTGGTCGAGTAGATCATGTTGTGCGGGGTCGAGAACCCTCACTCCACTCCGCGCAAGGGGGATGATCGCACCACGTTGTGTTAAAATGGTCAAGCACCCTCGAGGCAGTTACACAGATCTTACAAGTGTCCCTGGAAGTCAAGCGCCAGAAAATAAATTAAGTCATGCGCAGCTGTCATCCGTACGCAAGGAAGTAAGCACAAGATGCCGAAAACCGTTAGCAGGATGCAGCGCACCCTTCATGCGACTCGCCGAATACCTCATGGCGCTTCGCGCTTGGTGATGTGAGAGCCTGGTCCGGTGAGAACCCGGCGTCCTCCGTCCCGGCTTCGTAGGGATGCGAGGTCAATGGTCTAACGACTACGGCATGCACGACTATGGGTACACTCCCCGCCCCCCACTTTGTGTGCACTCCAACTATTACACATACATGTACATGTGTGAAAAGCGTTTTCCACCCTGGATTGTTTCATTTTATTGGTGAACACACGTACATACGTACACACAAAACGCTCCCAAGCTACGTAGGATGCCCTCCCCCACAGATCATGGGGCCTGCATCATCCTTTCCATTCGAAACCAATGACAGCAAACATCGTGACGTCAACAACGCTAAAAAGGAGCAACTCGAATGACACGCAAAGTAGGCGACACAAAGCACCAGAAAATGACGACGAGTTCACACATTACATGCCAACACAAGATTGGGGTCAAGCGCGACACGATCACTCAGAAGCGCTCAGCCACTCTCTCTCTCTCTCTCTCTCTCTCTCTCTCTCTCT